CTAATAGGATATATATATATATATATGATAAAGAGAGCTACTCCTAGTAGATATAGACTCAGCAACACATGTACAAAACCTGGCCATGATGTGTAGGAGATTGATCACCATGTACAAACTATGAGGGCCGTTGTGCTTATAGTGTGCCCTCAATTAAGAACTGTAGCTACCTATACTGATTATTATTTCATATGTTATAAATGACTCGCATTTTGCCAAGGACCACCTATATTTTGAAAAAAAAAATATTAGAAAGGATACATTCCAAATCTTCCTGTGTGGGTGTGTTAAGTCAACCATTTAAACGTGTGCATGCTTTTCCACATGTACACCCCTTTCAAAAGCTAAGCTAGGCTAAGTAAGGTGTTGTTCAAATTGTTAAAGAAATCAATTTGATGAATATTCTTTATGTGTTTTTGTTTTGATATGGCACAAAGACGAACCAGACAACAGATGAATGTCGGTGAAGTGAATAGGGGCATCGGAATGCTGCAAGCTAGCATGTTTCAACATCAGGTTGCAGCAGACCTTTGGGTGTCTCAAAGTGTGGTGGCAAGAATGTGGAATATTTTCCAAACTAATGGAAACCCTTCCAGACGTCATGCTGGAGGTCGTTCTAGGGCTACAATGCAGCCACAAGACCGATTTTTGCTCATACAGGTATGGCGTCGAAGGTTCCAGACTGCCACAGCTTTGCGAAATAACCTCCTTAATGCTTTGTAGCCACTCAAACAGTTAGGACCCATCTTCATGATGCTGGGTTAAGGTCACGTAGACCAGCAATATGAGTTCCCTTACCTGCCCGCCATGTTAGGGACCGATTAGATTGGGCCCAACCTCACAGCACTTGGACTTTTCAGGAATGGGAACCGCTTCTTTTTACCGACTTCATCCTTATGGACGATAGGCCACAAAGAGCAAGGGTGACTGAGCAGTGTCTATAGCAAGAGACTTTTCAACGAATGGATTTGCCAGCCCACTCGCCGGATCGAAATCCCATCCAGCATGTGTGGGACATGCTCATGTGTGGGACATCCTGCAGACAACTCTCACCTCCAGAAATGTTAAGCCAAGAACACTCCAGGAGCTGGGAACAGCTTTGGTAGCTGAGTGGAACGCTATACCACAAAACCGATACACTATCTCATTCGGGGCATGCCCAGGCGTTGTGAAGCTGTAACTGATGCTCATGGCCGTCACATTCGATACTAAAACAGTTTCTGTTTGTTTGGGATGAGTTCCTGTGGCTCATTTTCCGACTGTTATTACAATTTTTTGAATTTTTGCATCCTGATGAACTAAAAGAACAATACATTTTTCAAACATAATCTCAGTATAAATAAAAAAAAATAATGTATTTTGACATATGCTCAAAAATAAAAGTGATCCTTAGAGCTAAATGTGAGTAGCATATACATATACTTAATTTATTTACAACAATTGTGAAACAAGTTATTTCAACTTATCACTCTTGTTGGCCCAGTTGTTAGGGTACTTGGGAGGAAACCAGATACTCCAGAGACATGTACGGGCAGATGACCCCATGCCATTTCACGTCTGATCGGGGAATCCAACCCGGCCACCTTGGTGAAAGGCAAGTGGGCTATCCACTGGGCAACCTAACCACTGACCCTCATCATTTCATCAGGAAATTCTGTTGATGCGAGGACAGATTTTTATTTTGTCTTGAGAAAATATATTCATTTTTTAGTCCATGACTCAATGAAGACTTTTACATAACTAATCAGAGAAGAGATACAGCTACTCTGCATAGTCTATCACAGTTAGAATTCGTGCAGTGAAATTCATAATATGATCATTATCTTCATTGTGAAAATGCACATGAAATGATCATTTACTGTAAATTTGGTTATTATACTAACACTAGTAAATATTTCTTAGCAAAGCAGGAACAGACAACAATGCGATATATTTTCCAGATTGTTTTCCCCCTCATTATTGATAGTACCCACATAACACAAGAGGTTCTAAAATACAGCTAAGATACAGACGCCTAGTCAAGTACATCAAAGGAAAGCTGTACTTGTCAATGTGACAACCTTAAAATACTTTCACCTCAGTGTTAATCGTTGGTAATATGGTTAGATTTCACCAGTTAGATTGGTCAGTAAAATGCTACGGATGCTACAGAAGAGTTTTGAGAGGTACAAATGTAAATACATATTACGAAATAGAAGGGGTAAACTAAAGAAACAGTTGATGCTTGTTACAATCAATCACTGTTAACGATCCACCCTACATATTAAAACTGGACATGCCCAGTCTTCAATTTGGTAAGGACTAGGTTAAATGTGAATTCAGTGGTGACTGGGTTAAATTTAGTGGTGAATGGGTTAAAATAAAAAGGGTTATCACCAGAACATATATATATATATTTCAACCACAATACGCTTTGTTATTCCACACTCAGATCATCGTATTAACACGCAGACTGTTAAGATAAATATGAGTTATATACCACACGTGGTATATGCCCTACACGAGTTTTGATTGGTCAAGAAGATGAACTTTGACCGGATGACTTTTTCCACACGCTGTTTGCCACACTCTGTTTTGTTTACGTCGTCTGCTGTCAACATTCAACAAATGTTGGTGACTTTGTGAGGTTATGTGGAAAAGGGGGTTATTAAGGCAATATTAAAAGAAGATGATACTTAAAGATTTGATCGCTAGTTTCAGGCAAAATTGCTACAGACGCTCAATATCGTTTCGACGTCGCACTGTCTCGTGTCCAGGTGGTGAAACCAAAAGAAGATCTGTCACAGTGTCGGAAAAAATTTCGTTCTCCCAACGTCCCGTTATCGCTATTTGGATGGTCTGACTAGGGCTGAACTGTCACCATAAACGTCAACCATAGAACCGTCACAAAGAAACGTAGGCCTATGGTTTTGGACATTGACAGCGATAAGTTCGACTTCGTCACTTGGCGGGAGGCAGACTTCGTACGATATGCTTACGCGCATATAGTCCGTGGTTAATTTATATGAATTAATGCAATACTGCTACTCCCAATATTTAAAGTCGTTCATCTATTATATTTTTTCATGAAGTGAAATAAATACCATATTCAACAACCACTCGTTGTGTAACCTCTATATAACACACAGAACTTTGAATTGTTGAAAACTTCACACAGTATATATGACAACCACAGTGACAAAGACTGTTGAGAGTTTGAAAGCAATTTTATTTAAAAACAATTAACTTTGACATGTTTCTGAAATGTTCATCTTTCCGTTGGCTTTATAAGGTGTGATAACGTGCCGACAGTTTAAAATGTCACTACAGTGTAAATAAAATTAACACACAGCATTGATGAATGACACTGATGATAATGAAAAGATATTTTCAGTAAGATTAACATTAAATTAGACTGCATACAGATTATAGGTTTCGTGTTGGGCAGATCATAATGTTATCATTTTCATATTTTTTTTTAGAAAAAGTGTATTTTTATATCACATATATTACTAACTAATGAAATTAATCAAGTTATGAAATGTTAAGTAAATTGAATTTACACAAAGTTACATCAACTCATTCACCCCTGAAATTTCACAATGAACTATTCCAACCTTTGATTTGGCAGAGTTCAAATGTGTCTTTAGGGGTGAATGGGTTAAAAAAGAGTTTGCCCTTTAGTTACTTACAATAATGCCTAAAAGGTTACAATAATGCTTAAATAGTTAAAAAGTGTAATATATAACAGTTTGTCATTTTGGGTAAAGGAAATTAAGTGTATAGACTGTATAAGCGGAGTGACAAATGTCAGGGCCGTGACTGTTTATATATGTCATTGTGCTATGTATATATTAGGGGCCTCCCATACAGTTACTTGATGGCCTATCGAGGTGTTTCTGGCTTATAGAATGTCAATATTATAATAGTTATAATACAGTTTTCCGATATTTATAATTCTTTATGAATGACTGACCTAATGACCTATTAATAGTTGTTGCTAAGTTTTACAAAACTCTTGACAACAACTGTACACTTATATCTAAGATCCTTTTGAACACTTTTATCAATTCATGATATTTTTTTGACAGAAAATAGTATCATACCGTTAATGTGTTGGAATGAAAGAAATGAAAATAACAAGTCTTACAAGTAATGTAGGCCTCATCAGAGTTGGTGAACATGTGTTACTGGTTTGTGACTAACCTAAGGCCATTCTGTGTTAGCTCCAGAGATGCATTAATGATACTGGTCATTTATTACTAGTTCAGTCACTAACCTAAGGCCTTAAGTGACTGTGTTAAAGAGCTCCAGTGATTCAGTTTTGTTAATGGTATTCTTTCACCATGTTTTGTGTTTTAGAGCTCCAGAAATTACCTATATTGAGATTCTGGTTACGCTAGCAAGCAGCCTGAATATTTTGCAAAAAAACCACCCAAAGAAATCCAGTGGCATTTTTCTACTGGCATATCTACCCTTGTTGGAAACTTAACTAGGATCAGACACCCAAGTGATCAAAATTGATGAGTCTTATTTTTTCTTAATAAATAGTAAATTAGTATTCTACGTATATATGGGGGCCAGTCGTTGAATAGTACAAATATGTTACTTCTTTTATTTTATTTATGTATTTCAGAGCTCAAGATAAATCTATTTCACTGATACATGTACTGATATTACTGACCTTGTCCTTTTTTCAGAGCTACAGATATTTTAAACTCTGGTAAAAGCTAACTTTTCTATGTGTTGTAATTGAAATACTAGAGATCATAACACACTGGTATTACTAATTTAACTTGTTTTGTATTCCAGATATTTTCAACTCTGGAAAAAACTAACTTTTCTATGTGTTGTAATTAAAATACTAGAGATCATAACACACTGGGATTACTAACGTAATCTTGTTTTGTATTCCAGATATTTTAAAACTGGGAAAAGCTCACTTTTCCACGTGTTGTAATTAGAACACTAGATATCTTAACATACTGGTTTTGCTAAGTTTGTCCTGTTTTGTATTCCAGAGCTCCAGAAATCCTCCTGGGCTTGCCTTTCTGTGAAGCGATTGACATGTGGTCTTTGGGGTGTGTGATAGCTGAACTGTTCCTGGGATGGCCTCTATATCCGGGCTCCTCCGAGTATGACCAGGTATGTTGTCCTTTGGTCCTGATTAAAACTCGGCTTGTAGTTATGTTGTCTCACTAATCCTAGCCTAGACTCCACCAGGATCCTGGTACAACTTAACATTAATCTTGTCTCACTGGCTCTGGACTCCTCCTGGGTCCAGGTACAACCAGGTGTGTAGTTTTGTCCATAAACCTGGGCCTTAACAAGTAGTTAACCCATTCACCCCTAAAGTCACATTTGAACCTTACCAAATTAGGGACTGGGCAAGACAAGTTTAAAAATGTAGGGGTGAATGGGCCCTGTCTTGTTCAAAGCATTGTTAGCTTCACAAGTAAAAACATGAAACAAAACAATCATTAAGGCATGATAAGTCTGTTTATTTCTACTACAGCTATAGCTTTAACTACACAAACACTCCTTACAGATTATTATTTTTCTGAACTTGAATCCTTCATAGGATTATAAATTAACACTGTTATGCTGAATTAAGAAATGTATAAGTTGGGTTCTACAGGTTCATTCACCTGGTCAGTCAAATGAGCTTTAGTGTGTATTACAGTGTGTGTTGAGGGGTGGGAACTGTTTACATTCCGAGTGCAAAGTTATGTTTGTTGTGTTATGATGATGGAAGTACAGTGGTAGGTTATGAAACACAGCTTGCAGACAGGTCCCTCCAGGCATCATTATGGAAACCTTTAAAATTGATTAATCGTGTTGAAGTCTTGGCGCCTTCCTCTACATTTGATGCTAATGAAAGCTTCAATATTGGGAGATTATCTGTTGTCTGTGTGACCCAACTGTGTCTATCGAAAAAAATTGCACATTGGTAAACATTCTAAACTGTATACTGCAAACTACTATGTATATATATTTAGGGAGTAAAAGAGTTTGGAACAACAGGTTTTAAGGGGTAACTAGTTATAGGGATCTGTACTAGTCGGACAAGAAAGGATATTTTGTATTGGCTTGTTTACTTATAAATGAATAAATCTGTACACAAACATTGACATTGGGCTTCAGTTATCTCTTAAATTTTACCACTGACAATATTTAGATTTGTGATTATGTGTGTTTATGCCACTTCGTTTGTTGTATTGGGTCTTGTGATGTGAACTCGTTTTTCTATCCTACTAAAGTGATGGTTGATAAGACCTACATGCATTGACTTGCAGACAATTACGTATTTAACCTTCCTCTACAATGTAGTGTTTTACAGTTCTAGCGCTGCACAGTTTGGTTTTTGTTTCCTCCCCCTATCAAACTAGAGCAAAAAGTATAGACTCCAAAGATTTGACATTTTTAATTTGCATGATCAATAGGAACCAAAATTTTTAAATTTTTAAAAAGGTTAGCATAAACATTGAAGTTCATTGGTTAATTCCTTATGTCTGGAGAAATCCAGAAGCTATTCTGAAATATAAATAATGGTAGTGAGGAATATTTTTACGACTGATGTCCTGTATATCGGGAAATTTTCGCCCAGTCAAACTTTCGCCCTTCACAGTAAAATCCATTTCGCTCAAATTAATTTCACCATTCACCTTTAATTGCTGTTTATTATGTTGTTTACAAATGTCCACTGTTACGATAAATTCACCCTCATTACGGAAGGTGAAAAAGTACACTGCACCGAAAGTTTCCTGGTATATACAATAATCAACTAAAAAGATACGTGTATATATGTATTGAACTGAATACTGCAAAAACTGACCAAACTCTATCCTCACTTACCATCATCTATGTCAGCACTGGGAAAATAATCATATATAGGTCAAGGATGAAGGAGGGTTTGTAATGAATAGATACATTTAAGGGACAGATATTGATGGCGATCATAATTACAATCATTAATTCCACTTGGTACATTTGTTTATATAATTGATTACAAATTTTAGTAAGAAGAGAAGTATAACTCTATGCTCTGAATTTGTTATGATGAAATCTAACCCGCAAACACCAGCTTTCCATCTTTATACTGTATAGATCTCTGAAACAAATGTAAACTGGAATGCTTCAAATTGAATATTTGACAGCATAATTCCCAGCTTGGGCTTGCAATTCTATTAACAGGTGTTCCTTACATTGCATATAGACTATTATATAATCAAATAGGATAATTAGACAGAATTAGTGAAAAACAACATTACACAGTTGGAATATTAGCAACAATAATGTAGACCCTCTAGGCAAGTAATATGCTATGCATGTATATATATATATAGGAAGTAAGCAACGAAACCAATATAGCTGGCTATGTGTAATAAATGTTGTCCATCTGTTGCAGATTCGATATGTCTCACAAACACAGGGGCTACCTGCCGAACACATGCTAAGTGCTGCTACAAAGACCACACGGTTCTTCATTCGAGAGAACACCGACAGTAACTACCCCTTTTGGAGGTTGAAGGTAGGTTGCTTTAGGTGCACTAGAAATAGATATTTTGCATTATCAGCTGTCAATGAATATTTCTAGTAGACGAGTCCCTTGTAATAAAGCATTTAAATACCAGTGTTTATATGCTCTGATCTTTATAGGAATAACAAATTTATTAACTTATACAGTATATTAAAATGTGTATATTTTGATTAAAAATGATGTAAAAAGAATGAGTAGACTAATTAAATCAATCAGTGTACAACTGATATACCATTGTGATTGTTCACAGACTATAGCAGTGGTAGCTATATAGTTGTTCATTCCCATCTCATCAATCCTCTGATAATTCTTAATATTTGTAAAATGTAAACAGCTTTCCTTCTGTCACAAGAACAGATTTCCATAACTACTATCATATAACACAGTTTTCCTATCATCTTAAAACCACTTTTTTATCGTCACATTATGACTTTCTTTCCATCTCTAAACAATATTTCTACTGTCGAAAGAAGTGTACCTACTATTACAAAATGGCTGTTCCACTGTCACAAACCCCCCTTTTTTTTTACTGTTTGATCAGCTTCTTCCATCATGAAAAAAATAGTCTCAAGTTCCTTGTAGTGAAAACTGGGTACCCTTACCAAGAACCAGCTTTTACACTACAACAGAAATTGACAGAGAACTGAGTAGCTTCCTATCTACTTGTTCTGTTAAACCACACTCTCACTTCACTCTTATCAGAGTTAGCTAAACACCAAGTGTAAAACCTACTTCCCTACAGTGGTAGGGCTTCCCTCAAATATTGAATCGTACATTTCCATAAGCCCTCCCTAACAATAAATTAAATGTCATATTTGGTTAGCTTATTCAGGCTCTTAAGGCATTGTACCTCAAATCTGTAGTTATTGAAATCCTGTCAATAACAGGCCTATGGCTTGTCCTTACATAAACACACGCACCGTATTCACCAGGTAGGTCTTTATTTAAATGCTGTTAACACTAGGAGACGACAGCGGTCAACACACATCAAATCACTTTTAAACTTGTGTCAGAACATGTGCCTTAAAAATAATATAATCCCTAATCAGTGTGTCAGTTGTCGTTTTCGGGGTTCTATATTTTCTTTATAATGAAAAAAAAGAATATTCAATGAGGACTTAAGACAAAACATTATATTTGATCAGTGTTACAGGCAAATGTACATTGTAAGGGTTTACAAACATTCGTGTTACGTTCAAATTCTGCTCTCACCCCTTCATCTACAGTAATCATGTTTTCCAGATATATTTTGTAGGGCTGCAATGATACGCCCTCATGGTAGGATACGTACATATGTATCACAGTGTTAAAGATTGAGTGCAGGATTTTACAGAGTTTCGTCATAGACTTAATAATATATATATGTATTAAATGCTGTCAAAATATAATTTTATAAGATTTTTAGTACTTTTGCACAGTGGGCCACGCCTTAACTGAAAGATTTCAAAATTATAATTAAACTCTTAAGAGTTAAATAAAAAGTAAAAAAGAAAAAAGATTGATTGTTTCAGTACTGTTAGTGTATCACAATACAGGCAAACAAAAGAATTTGAAACAATACACAAGAAAGTATCACAATGCGATACAGTACGATATATCGTTGTAGCCCTACAATTTTGTGAATGTTAATCCTCTATAGATGTGACAAAGTCATTAATCCATGTTTATTGTTCACCTGGCCTGAAGGACTTCACAATTTTTCACATTTTTTTTCACATATTGTGAAAGGAAATAAGTAGAATCTGGTAGACTTATGAGTAGAATCTAAGAGTACACAATTATAAGGGTAGAATGGTTATCTGGATGACTGCTTACATTTTCAGGTAGAAGTTCTATCCAGTAAGTAATATTAAGTATTTCAATATCTGTCAAAAAGTGTATTTAGGGCATTACTGTTGATTGATTGTGCTACATCTTAGTAATATCACCCATGCTCATCAAATTGATGACACTGGTGATCTGTCGACATGGTTTAAGTAATATGTTTGACTGACTTCTCACATTTCAGACTCCAGAGGAACATGAAGCAGAAACCAAAATCAAGTCAAAAGAAGCCAGGAAATACATCTTTAACTGTCTGGACGACATGGCACAGGTAACTAGGGTAGAATTAGTGTTACACAGTGTTACTAGGTAACAGTAGACTTCAATTTATAATAAGGATTAAATCAGTATATATCACTTACCTTTATCGTAACATTAGTAAAACGTAAAACATGTCGCTGTGTGAACAACACGTAATGGCTTCACTTTAGGCAAGTTGATTACTAAGGTGACAATACATCATCAAATTGTTATTTTTTTCCCCCCAGGTAACTAGTACAATAAAATATTGTTCACAAATATTATTTAAAAAAATATATTTAATTATGGGAATGCAGTAGGTTGATCATGGCAATTCTTATTGAAAAGCTTGGTCAACAAGTTGCATTCAGATATTTGTATGTATAGATTTTCCTTATGCATTGAAACTCTGTTTATTGTTAATACTGTATGCTGTATTATAAATCCGTTTTCAATATAACCATGAGAAGATTTTGAATTAATTGTTAGTCAATGCAGCATAAGGAAGTTTAAAAAAAAGAAGAGATGTTAACTGTTCCAGACAGACAGGGAAGTATTTATATATCTTACAGGTTACTTCCTCAATTTTACAGATTAATGTGCCGACAGACTTGGAAGGGAGTGAACTCTTGGCGGAAAAGATTGACAGGAAGGAATTTATTGACCTTCTGAAGCGAATGTTGACCTTGGACCAGGAGCGTCGGATCATGCCAGGGGAGGCCCTCAATCATCCTTTTGCAACCATGGCACACTTGATTGAGTATGCCTGTAGTAGCATGTAAGTTTGTAACAAACACACTTACTTGGCCTATACATATACATCAACAACACACATTATAATCCCACACACATATATAACTCACACATATATATTTACATTTGCTCTGCATCCTTCCATTGCAATGCATTGAGAAGGCAAATGTTGTTGTGAGACTATAACAACATTTACTATTGTAACGTCATCAATCTCTATTGCAACGTCATCAATCTCTATTGTAACGTAATCAATCTCTATTGTGACATCATCAATCTCTATTGCAACATCATCAATCTCTATTGTAACGTCATCAATCTCTATTGCACGTCAATCAATTTCATTGTTTTCAGGACTTACTTGCTGTTCAAAGAAATGTTTGAATTAACAAAATAAAGCATAACTACTTATCAAAATGTAAATATAAATAATGAACACACTTTAAAATTGCTTATTGTCTTATTGCTGACAAACTTACGCAAAGCCCTGCCAGGCTTTATAAATTTTTGCCAATGTGTGTTGGACCATAACAACATTTGCTAAAACATTTATTGCTTAAATAAAGCTTATACACGTGCGTACTTCACACAACTTACCTTTAAATAACACACATATTAACTAACACATACATGTAGGCCATACACCTACATCAATTACACACAGGTATACATATCCTACTCACAGCACACACATGTAATTCACACAGGTTACACATGACCAACACACATATGATCTTCACACTTACATAATCTACATATACATACCCTACACACATAAACATACACATACATAATCTACATGCGTAGATAATCTACAAATATATATATCTACTCATGTATAAGAACTACACACATGAACTAAACACATACATTACCTATGCTCATTAACAACCCTTTCTTCGTCAATGCAATGTTCATGAAATTATCATGGATTGGTAGGTTTCAAAATCTTTACCTTGCTATCTGCTATCCTGTAAATCATTGGGATGATTTTCAGTGACTGTTTGTTATTGTTGTCCCATAGGGTGAAACAGAGTGTTCAAGCTATGGAGATATGCCGGCGAACTGTGAAGAGTATATTCGACATCAATCAAAATGGTGGAGGGCTGATGTCCAATCTGGTACCAACATCCACAGCCAGTCTGACAGTGACCTTCAACAACCAGATAAATGCCCTTCACACACAGGTAGACCACTTCACATTTACAAGTTAATTTAAGGTGTTCAGATGCTGCCATACGTAACAAAACAAGACTCCCTCTCTTTCTCTTAATTGTTTTCTACGTTACTTGAAACAAAATGACATCATCCAGTGTTTAACTGCTGCTCCTCAGCACTACACTTAAGACAGATGTTTCTTAAATAAAACAATTAAAATATATGCTTACTCACCAAATGTCTTGCTCATATTCAGTGTATGGCATAGCTCAGAGAGTTAGCAAAGGCGAAGTAAGAAAGTAGTATCAAGGCAAATACTTGATACAACTAGCAGCGATCCCATTGGTTACATTTTATAAGAAAAAAAAAAAATTCTTTCGGACAGCAAAGTATTTAATTCAGTATTTCAAAATTGACTTCTGTGTAGGCGCTGAGCTAATTAATTAGTACATGTACTCTTTTTAGATGGCATCCCAGAACTTGGCCGCTTCTTCCCATCAAGCGGCGCCCGAGCTCCAGTACCTGCCATACCCACTACAGTCCCGGCCCTACATCCCCTACCAGGCCTCACAGGTCAGCCAGCCTCTCCCTGGGGCGAGTCAACGATCCAACACACAGTTCAACAGAGACCCCTTCATACATGTGTCGTCCATCGTTGTACCGGGTACTCTCCAAGGTAACCACAGACTTCTACCATTTTGACCACTGACTTCTGCAACTTGACCAATGACGTCTGCGCAGACTTAGACCACTGACTTCTGCGATTTGACCACAGACGTTTGTCCTTTGACTTTGAGCAGCATATTTGTATACCTCTACTGGTAGAAATCCACTTTTACTTCACATAAATGATCAACATGTTATACCCACTCAAAAATAATAGCAGCAAACATTTATGTCGGGCTGTTTCAAAATAAACTGTAGGGGAGGGATGGGGGACATTTTTTCGGAGACCCCACCATCCATGAAATATTTTAACTGGTTTAATTTAAGAAATGGCGGGGAGATCTTGTTTAAAACTCACCACCCATAAAATATTAATTTGGGTGCCTCCTACTTTCCCATATGATCAATTATGAATAACCCTTAGCTGTCGGCTGTCTCCTAATTGAGATAAAATATTTTCTATGCTTTAATTTTTCTGTTGAATTTTTAATTTTTTTGTATGCATTTATGAAAACACAGTACGGCACACTGTTACTAGTACTATTATGGATTATTATGACAAAAAAAAATTCTAATTTGAGAGCTACTGGAAAATTCCCCAGCAGGAGCACTTCAGCAGTCTGGTTCGTTTTTTGTAATGTGCCGAATAAATTGGATAATGTAAGGAGAGTCATATTGTCTAGTGCTTGTTATTGCCTTGTAAATTATTGGCAAGTGGCGGCTCTTTAATATGATGGTAATTGGTGGCACAGTGGAGGCCTTGTACGTAAAGAGAGATATATGGAGGTAATTTTGACATGAAGATTGATTCCAGAAAAAGTTGTTCAGTGTTGATTGAAAAATGTGGTTACCAGGCGACATGATGAGAGATGTTACGAAACTGTCCCATCAATATTATGTTCAATGCTCATTTTATTTTTCTCATAAAAAAAAATCATGTTTTTAATGGAGAGTTGGTTCATGTTTGCATCCAAATCACAGTCTGGGATAACATTTCATTGGCATTTTCCCTTCATGGCTTTTTTATTTGTTTTATTAAAAGGTCTCAGCTCGCCGACCAGATACAACCATGTTCCCATGGTAACACAAGCTGCTCCTACGCTACAGTTACAGCCGCAATTGATAACACAGGTAAATATCATCAAGAGTCTTAAACGGAATCAAATCATGCATAAAAAACACATAAAATGTATTTGAATTATTTGAACTTTTCAAGGATTTTGTATAACTTTTCAATATTCTAGTGGATTCTTTTTGTTGAAATGTTGTTTATGCTAAGGTTTTTAGCAAACAAATATATCTGCAAATTTCTGTTTTGTTTGAGAATTTGTGATATATCAGAAAATGCTTCAGAGAAAGCTATGCTAATTTGTAGTTTTAAACAACAGTCCAGTACTTGTTCTGATAGAAGCCGGTGGAGATATAATCTCCATATTGGAAAAGAATCTGAAATGCATGTTTGTTTTAGTAGCCTCTTGTTTAAATTTTAAAATATGTTGTGTACAATATTCAAAGATAAGTTGTTTTATACACGTTACAAGTCAACATCTCATCATATATCATATGTAACAGGATGTTTAGTTTGTGTCGACCATCAGCGTATCACATTTCATCTGTTTGTATTCATTATTCATGTATCTGATAATAGTCCTTTTCCTCCTGTGTATCACTATGATGTAAGGGTTGTGTTCACTAGTACGACATCCATGCTGATGATGTTGAGACTATTCTACAGGGAACTTGACTGTGTGGTGGTGTGATCACACTTTACCTGTGCACACTAATGAACAACACCCCATCAGTCATTATTACCTGTCACCTGCGAGATAAATGTGTGAAGGGTTGGTTTTGTTGCATTTTAGCCGACCACACAACAGATCACGCCCGTAACAATGCTAGAGGGTGGTAGACCAGTGTTAATGACAGTACGTAACGCACAACATTGATTTTTATACCATTATGGATTTTGATCTGTTTGTATATATATATCCATATATTACTCTTTAAAACTTGTTTTAACACCTCTGTGATGCCGTATTCCTACAATTTTAACACTACTACTGTACTAGCAGTTGTCAGCACACATCTCAAGCCTGTTTAGCTTACAATTCTACCTTTTGTAGTAAATGTTTTTCTCAAAAACTTTTGACAAATTTATATAAATATTGATTGTTTTTTTCCTTCTGCCCCCTCCCCCACACCCCACCATTTTATGGAGGGAGAATAGTGCCACTGTTGTCTTCATCTCCTGTCCCTTTGCGTTGTGTTGCGTCACAATGCATCTCGTCTCGTTCCATGCCAATTCATTGCTCTAGCAACTTCATTACTAATGAATTTTGATCAAACTTTATACAAAGATCAAGTTTGAAGCATCTGGAAAGAGGTCACATTTCATTGTTCCAAGGTGAAAGTCAAGATCACCATAACCATTTACAGAAAGGTTTGTTAGGAACCCTTAATATTCGAACGATCATAAATCATTTTGATATCTTGAAAATGAAGTCTGACAATATTAAATGAAGAATTTATAATACCCTTTTTTGAGGTGATTTATTTTTCAACTATTGGTCTATGCCAGCACATTCTTCAGTGAGCTTACTTGTGTCCCTTTACAATTTCTTATAGGTTTGAATCTACTTGTAATGCTTAGCCAGGATAAACAGTTTAATTTCAAATACTTGTCATTATGTTAGAATGTCTTACAAGACAGACTCATTCCCCTTAATTTAAGCAAAAATTCCCACTTTTCTGAAGTGCAAATTTCCATTTTCAAAAGTAGAAAATGTAATCCAGATGTTTGTTTTAGCTTGCGACCCTGTGATACAGTGCAACATTTCTCACTTTAAATGGATGCTGAAATCCTGTTTAAAATTAATATGTAAATCCTGTTGTCAGTAAGCCCCTTTTTACATTTCCTCAGATAATTGTCCTTAGGTCAGTTGTATACATATCTGTTGTCACCCAACACTAACAGCCTGTGAGCTTAAACAATAGTGTATGTCATCCATTCAGTGCCAGTTATTCATTACAGTAGTCCATAAAGCATATTATATTTAATTACCAAGTTTGTTCAAAGAAAAGACCTTGAAGCACTTCCAATAATTCAGGGATCAAATGTGTTGAAATCTTCAAACAGCTTCATCTAAGATCCATAGGGACTATAGGAATAATTGTTCAATCCTTCTGTGATGAAAATGAATATTCTAAAAATCCAAAAATCTGATAGAGTACTGATATATATATGCATATATATAGCTTTCTGGGATGAAGGAATTCAGTTGTTGTTGTTCAATAAATGACTTTAACCCACTCAAGGTCATATGAGTAAACTTTAATATGAGAGACCCAAGTCCTGGAGGGTATTTATAGGTGGTAATACACACTAGTATCATGACATACAGACCTAATTTTTCATCTTACCCTGGCACTTGACATGTGTAACATGTACTGTTGCTGTAGATAGTGACATGTGTTTTTGTGTATCATCTGTGTTGTAATATTATAGTATTAACCTGTGTGTGAACTAACCCCAGATCTTGCTGTAGTGCTAACCACCTAGACCCTTTATATATATATAACTGTCTGTGTATCCGTGTGAAGATAATCCCTCGCCATGTAGATTTAGACACCCAGTTACTGGTATCTCAAATTCACCTGTTTCCACAAAGTCTTGAGCAGTAACTCGAGTCTAAATGCAAATTCAAATATCATGGATTTGAGTTATCATTTGTTATAGACTTCTCATATTCCAAGAAGAATATTTTCAACCAATATATTCATATATTGATGATTCATTTTAAAGTCAAAATCATTTTTGAACTTCCCTTTCAGCTCACCTGGTTGAAAATCTTTAATGATGATTTTCAATGATTTGTTGAACAACCACCTGTTCTTTCTTCTGTCATCAGAAAAAAGTAAATTAGTTACTACCACTGTCCCTCCAATATCTTTCGCCTCGCTGATATTTATATATGTTGAAAGTCTCAAGATAAGTGATTCATACTTTTGCACACCTAGGCCCATATTCACACAACTGTTCTCATAGTCAAACTCAAGTTATGTGGTGATGTCATCTGCCTTGTAGCTCGTTGGTTTCGCAGGATCAATGATTAATGAAACGAAACACCTAATTCCAAATAGTATGAATTTAAAAAAAAAAAATCTAAACAAAGGATCCGGTCATGAGATTGAGAACAGGATATGAGCTTGAGCACAAAAAATGGTGTGTTGATGATAGCCCCTTATTGGTATCGCATCTGTAGGAATGTTCGGTTTGTGATCTCAATAAGTATCGTATGAGTTGATCACCCTATGTCATACATCCATACTACCAGGTGAGCATTCACAAGGCGTTCATTGTGGAAACCTATGAGATACTTGTCTGGTAACACTTTTTGAACAGTTTGTATGCTCTTTATATTTTTGATGTGTTTTTGCTTGCCTTTTCCATTCGTATTACCAGACAAACAAGCTTTAGAAGAGGCTGTAGTATTGTCAATTAACTGAACAGTGAACGTTGTTGAATCTAGGATAATCCAGAAAACTTGCTTGTTAAATGTAATTCATTTCAAAAAACTCGCTTTCTAGATACTGATATTTGTATACATTGATTTTGATTTAATTTATTACCTTTTTGATGTTGAATGTTTTTTCCCCTATCTTTGCCAGAATTTGTTTGGCTTACTTTAGTTTCTTTGTATAGCAAGAAAAATAATGCAATCTGACGTACATCATCAATGATTTGATTTGAATGTCCGAAGAGCTCCTAAAAATGTCATAGTTGTATAAATATCATCCAATATGGAACTGATTTCAGTTAGGTTGTAGCAATAATAATCTACACTATTGCCTGAGATTTAAATTTGGTTAAACATGAAATATTTTTTGTATCTTTCTAAGAAAAAATGTAACCTTAAGCTTGACCTAACAAGTTACATTTACATTATTACAGAATGCCCCAGGAGGTGCATGGCCACATGCGGCGGCAGCAGCGGCGGCGCAGCAGGTACTTGTGGGGTCGTGGCAGCAAATCCCTGGCCTACCCACGCAGCGGTCTGTCCAGCAGCCCCTGCTCACAGAGACGCTCGCATCACAGGCCCTCCCAGACAGCTGGCGCCAATCCATCGTCCTAGACAGTTTCGACCAGTCTTCATTGGCCCCGTTGGCCCCGTTGGTAAGGAAGCTCTGCTATATTGGAACTTTACTGAGATATTGTTTCAGAAGCATAAAAAGAACTGGCTCAAAGAGTGCAGGGGTGTAGAGTTCCACCTTTCTGACATCTGGGTATTATTGATTATATGTCAAGGTCCTGCAAGGCTAGAGGAACTTTGGAAAATCTACCTTTCGACAAGTTCTCTTGTTTTCCTGAATTTCTAAAATGTCATGAATTATTTTTCTGAAGCTTATATTTGAAATGAATTTGAACAGAAATATATATAACACATTAAAGATGGAATCACATCTAGTTAATAACTGTATATCAGAATTGGTTGCTGTGCTGTGCACTTTTTTGTCATCAAGCCAAATTTTGTGTTTGTCTACAGGGGTCAACGTCGCAGCAGTGGAACATTGGGATGGTTCCCACTACCTACAGTCTGAGTGGGCAGCACTCCTCGTCACAGTCGAGCAAACGCCACACGAAACAGGGGTAGGTAACTTTTACACGTACAAAAAAAGATGTTTAACTCTCTTGAGTACTGTATGCCGAGAAATTTTTCGGAGTCAAACTTTCGCCCTTTGCCAATAAAATCAATTTTTGCCCAGTGTTTATTTCGCCCTTCTCATTTAGTTACTATGCCTATTATGCTGTAAACTTATATTCACTGTAATGATAAATTTGCCCTCATTACGGATGGCAAAAAAAGGCTAAAATTTAACTGCAACGAAATTATCCCCGTATACATTATAAAAAGGAATAGGTCACTCAACGCAGGTACACCTATAAATAAAAAAAGTCACTGTGCACTTTAACATCTATGAACAAGATATTTTCACTCATTTCCTCGGATTGTAGAAGGACGTCTATGAAGGAGCCTACGTCGACACACCTATCTCCAGTGAAAAAACGTGTTAAGGAGAATACACCACCAGACTCTTTACTCCAGCAGGATGCAGCTCAGACATTGTGTAACTGGTCCATGTCCCAGGGGCGGGAGCAACGTCAACCAATCGTAATCGCGGACACTCCCAGCCCTGCTGTCAGCATCATCACGATCAGCTCAGACAGTGACGATGATGCAGATCACAAGCACCACAGTCGCAGGTTTGTCATTTATGGAAATTAATTAGATAACTTTGCCTAGTGCTTTTATGCCCCCCCCAGCCATAAATGGGGGGGGGGGGGGGGGGGGGGGAGATGGGGGCATATAGTGTTGCCCATGTCTGTCCCGTCCCGATTCAGTGTCTAACAGTCATTCTCTAATTTTCATTATGAATTCATTGAGTAATTAACATAGCAGTAAGTATGCCGGGTTACCTCTGAAACAATTGATTTAACAAAACAGGTTTACAAGTAATGCTATTGATGCAGAAAGGGAAAAGTGTATAGCATCTTTTCAGAACATTGTGTGTAAAGGGAAGTAACTCCTGTTGTCACTTACCTTAGTGTGAATTATGTGTTCTCCTAGTTTGGAATGCCTTGTTAATTGGGTGTCTAATTTGTGATAAACATAGAATATAAAGTAGATCAGTTTTATTATTGTATGTCATGTTTTTCTTTATGTAAATTGTAACTGGCAGTATTCAAACTTCTGTTTTAACACTTACTCTATTTCAGGGGTAAGAATAACCAAGGCGTCCATTTTGTGCAGCCTACTACACGGAATTCACAAGCCTTTACGTCCTCTTTGGCAGGCTCTACAGCTGACTCTTTCGGTGAGTGAAGTTTTCTATTTATAAACATTGCATGTCAGTTTCTATTGGTGCTTTTGGCTGGGTATTTATAATATTGTTTTAAAGGCAAATTTGAAAAATACTTTACTTGTATGCTTCTTCATATTAAAGTTTTGTGCAAGAAGTGCTTTATTAAATGTTCCTATTTATTAAATGTTCCTATTTATTAAATGTTCCTAAAACATGAATGGAAAGTAACAGAATCATGTGGAAAATGGTAATAATAGTGACCAATCGGATTGTAGCAGGAAGTCATTATCCGACTGATCCAACTTGCATAATCAGTTTATAATTTTAAGGGACTGAATGCCCAAATTAAGTGAAAACACCTTTTTTTTACATTTAGAGATAGTTGTTTTCTGTACATTAGGTTTCCTTCTTCAATAATACATGGAATTCAGTAAATTTTGTGCAGTTTTGATGTTTTCTGCATTACCACTGATCATATAATGAAAATCACAAGAAGAAAATGATTTTCAGTGCATATGTTACATTGTATCATTTAGCAATTGAGTTCAGTAATGAACCAATGATATTGGATGCATATATATATGGACTTTGTCATTGATAATCGGAATTGAAAAAGGCAAACCGATAGATTTTTGATTAAAATTGGTTGTCAACCCATCACTAATTAATGATCAAATATTTCACTGACCTATTTTACATGTTTTTATCTCCTGCTTTCACCGAAATTGGGTCACAGGGTTAAATGCCTTAAGGGCTCGGCCAAGTTCGATGACCACTTTCAGCTGACCCCATTTGGCGGAGTTATGTCCCCTTGAATAATGAAAAACGTCATTATCTGCCGCCCTTCGTTTCCGTGCAATAACTACAATAAATGTCAGCCTGAGTTATGGCCCATCGAATAACGAAAACATGTATTATCTGCCGTTTATGTTCATTAACTCTCACAAATTTTATCTGATTGTCTTCAAACCTAGTAAGAGGGTTTAACGCATCAAGGGGTCGGCCAAGGTTGACAACCACTCTTATCAGGCTCCATTTGGCAGAGTTATAGCCCCTTGATTACCGAAAAACATCATTATCTGCAGTTTCCGCTTCATAAATCGAGCAAATATTAGCCACATTCCTTCAAACTTGATAACAATGTTTGTATTCCTCTGTGTTTCCACCCATCTCGGGCACTCTTTGGTTTTCCTCTGATAATTGCTGTTGATATTGTTCCGATGTTTCAACCAAATTCTGTATGCACATCCGACTCGCGCTAAGTTTGCCAACCGATTTGATTTGTGCATATTTACGGATAATCAATGAGGTATAGGGCTTTTTTTCCCCCAAGTTTCAAGCTATACAATATGTCTCAACAGCACGATACTCAAATGTTTAAACCTAACCTCAATAATGTTAACCTACAATAAGTCCTGCAAGCGGGAGATAGAAATTCCACGAATTTGCTTGTTGTTGTAGATTCACTGAGAGGAAGGAAGAACAACAGTGTCATAGTGGCTGATGTACAGGACATCGATTTTGAGGAGAGTATAAATTCCTACAACAAGAAACAGATTATCCTCACGCCCATTAAGCATGAGGAGGTTGAGCGGTCAACTCTGGCCACTAACCCGTCGTCCCACTACCTGTACACCAACAGTCTAGGCTTGCCCAGCACCACTACCACAGCCCTGGTGCCACCCATGATATCCAGCAGCTTTGACACCAAGCCCAGGAAGATGCGGGAACAGGCAAAGGTCTCACCTTACATGGCAAACATTCCAAAGCAAGAAACCTCTGTTCCCACATCAATGGGGAGAATCCACGACAGGAACCGTGGCATGCGTAGTCCCAAACTGGAAGTGAGGCTTCCCCCGCTGGAGGTGGAGATCAACAGTGCTGCGCTTCAAGGCAAACTTGCTTATGTGTCACCAACAGTGCGGCCGGGACATAGCTCACAAAAGTTGGCGGCCACCCAGAGTCTTGTGTCCCAGAATGGGTCAGTTCTAGGGGGCAAGCACTGGTCAGGCAATATTAACTTTGGTAGTCGGCATGCTGCTGGGACTAGCCAGCTTTCACCTGTGCAAGGGGGCGTCTCTCTCACACAGCCTGTGTTCCTTAGTGCTGGCACACAGATGGAATTCAACAGGTTTGTACAAAATATGAAATAAGGGAAAAGACTTGCTTTGCCAATGATTTATGAAATATTACCCTTTCACCCCTATGTAACTAGTAAACCCTACCATGCATTGGTCTGGATAAATCCATTATGGTCTACAGTGAATTGTTTGTATCTTTGAAATCACTTTTCTAAAATGAAAGGAAAGGAGTATTGTGGCTTTATGTTGAATTTTAACATTATAATATTTCATGGAAGAAAGATTAAAACATTAACTTAGTTAATTTTATGGAAGAAAGAGTTGAACATTAACTTAAATTGTAAAGTAAAAAATTACTTACTTGGTTCTCAGGCCCGCGCACACAAAAAAATTGTGAATGCGCCAGCTGTTGTCTTAAAAAAATCAGGAAAATTGGTCCGCATGTCGTCTTTACTTGTTAGTCACCCATGTTTGGGAAACATTTGAATAAAAATCAGGAAATTGATATACAGGCAAGCGTTGAAACGATTATGACTTATTAACCTTGTGTACAAATGGCGCTCATTTCGGTACAAATAAGGAATGGGGGGTCTGTGATTCTTCCCTGGAACATCGTGGGGGGATTTTCAGAGGCTTGCTTCATGACAACTACACAACTATAAAAAACGTTAACATCGATCGGGGAACGTGGTCATTCCCAGATAAACTCTGTTCTGCTAAAGTATCCGTGTGTGTGTTGGGCGACAAAATGCAAACACATTTGACAAGGTAATGCCCAAAATGAACGTTTTACAAACTTCACAATAAAAAAAAAAATCTCCCTCAGCTCATTTTTGCCATATAAAATGAAAAAACAACAACTATCTGCCTCATCTCATTTAAAATAAATTGGCATGAGAACAAAGTAATTAATAAAAAAATTTTGGCTTTAGTTAGCATTTGGTCTATTGAGTATGATATATAATATATTTGTGTTGCATTACAGAGACTACCGTCGACCCCCCGCTCTACAGGGAAGTCCAATTCACCACTACCTTCTGCCTGCTCATCAACAGCCACAAGTGGCTGCTATCCCGGCCGGCATCAGTCAATATGCGCCTTTCTCCCCCAGCGTGGCTCCGCCTCCGGCCCACCAGAGCCCACGACACGTCCAATACACCACCCAGCCATTACCAGCACACGTACACCCAGTTCTGCAGTCGTCCACCCTTCCGGCGGGGCCCTACCAGCCCCAGCTGACTTCACAGTACGGAGTGGGGGCTGCCACTACTGGCTTGTATGCGACCTACCCTCTCAGTCCCAACAAGGGCAGATCATATCAGTATTTCGCATGATTTCTAATCTTTGTGTATGGCAGCTGATCAACTATCAAATTCCTTGTATACAGTCCACCCTTGATTTTCTAAAGTTTTAATCATGTCCTGAATATGCATCGAAATCGTTGCAAAAATAAGACTGCATCGAACCTATAATCAGGTAGAAAAAGACATCTGATTTTTATGTTTTTGTTCTTACTACAATTTTACAATACGAGGTGTTAAGTTTCATTACAGAAGATATATTATTAGAGTCTTATAAAAGTTTTGATTTTTACTGAAGTTTTAATGACTTTAATGGTTTAGATTTGATTGAGAGTGATCTGTATACTATTATATTCTAGTACTATACCGATGGTGCTAATAGGCAGACATTGTACCAACATAGGCTGACATAGTGTAGCAATGGCTGAGGAAGTGTGTGGGCTTGTACTGTAACGTGACAGGCTACTTAGAGCATACACGCCACACGTTTTATGTGCATCATGATCGTAAGTCAGTGGCGACATCAGGATGGTGCAATATCGTCGTACATAGATGTGACACCAGAATGGTGCACCATCGCCATTGTAACTGGAGACAACTGCGCCAGACGGGTGCATCATCATAGATGACTGGTATATCGTCTTTGTTGATGACACCGACTCAAAGCTGTTTCATTATTTACTGGTGACCGTACTAGCACCTCCCAGGCCACATGGTCACGTTCAATGGTGCAATGAGGCAAAGCTTGGTTGTGATCTTTTTAATGCAGCATTTCAAAATCTTTAAAGCATTTCAGAACGAAAGAAAAATGTGTGTAATGGTATTATTCTCAAGAAAAGATTCTGAATGATATTTTTTGGAAAGAAATTGAATGTGAAAATGCTAGCAATACATGTTATGTTTATTAAGATTTACAGAAATATGTATGAAAAGTGCTGGAATTTCAAAATCTGACGTTTAAACATGCTTCACAGATCTTGAAGTGCTCCATGTGTTCTTTTTTAACTTAAATTATATAAGAGGAAAGTTAAATCATCATCATGCTTACAAATTTTAATAAGATAATCTTGGCACTTTGTATTTTCAATTTAGGCTTTTCTATCAAGAGACGATACTGTCTTGCTACATGTGCATGTTGGTTAAACAGTGCTGTGCGTCTATCCACTTCCAAGAGACTGTTGTTCCTGTCTCCTCTGTGTTGCCCACACATTTGATATTTTATCCATCATTTAAAACTGTACAGAACGGTATAGGGTGATCGTAACTTTGTACACAAACTTAACATGATCTTATTAGGTGTAGAGAATCCAGCATTTATGTGGTTTATATGGCATTGAGTAAGTCATTGATTTATCATCAGTTTTACCTTCACATTTCCTATGTATGTTCATTATTGAATTGGATGAGTGACTTGACTACAAAATCAACTTCAGAACGACATTTTATAGATACTCTGAGAGAAGCCAATTTTTCGTGTGATGTAGTCAGTCTGCTGTATTTATCACATATGCTCAACAATGGAACAGGCATTTATAGTCAAATGGGTTTTAAATAGTTATCCATGATTTGTAGTAAATATGTATTAAAATTTAAGTAGCAAGTACAAGTGATTTTAGTGTACAATATTTTGTTGTGTATTTCATTTTATATTATTAATGATATAAGTCTGAACATGTGTAATATTTTTAAAAAAATCCACCTTATTATCCCAATTTTTAAGTAGTTTTTAATTTCTTGTTTAGGGGTTAAATTTTATGTTAGCAATTTAGAGTTCACTGATTTTAGCTGGATAGAGTGTGTCAGCGCCAATGCCTGCCTGACTCCGTCTAGAAGTTCAGGTGATAAAGGGAGTATATAGGATACCGCAGACATTTGATGAGACTACCTGCTTCTCGGTTGATTAAATCCAGACTAAGATGTAATTATATTGAATGTCGAGTGTTTCAGTAAGGTGCCCACGTGTGTCGGCGACTTTTCCTGTTGATTGATTTTATATTATGAGGTTAAAATTAGAAAAAAAAACTATTCTTCTTATTCTAAAAAATAAATTACACCTGAAATACATCAAAAGAAATAAATTTGATGTTAGAACATGGATATCTATACAATAAATTTGATGTAAGAACATGGATATCTAAAATAAATGACTAATCCTATTGATTAATTTTAGATCTTCACATTTTTGGGAACTTACTGTGTTCACTTCTGCGACATTCTTTTCGAGTGAATTTGTGATTTTGAATCTGACGTGAAAGTTATTGAAAGAGTTCTTTCAATGAAGTGTTTGAATTGGGTATAGCTGGATTTCAATGCATAGACTTACTATAAGCTCTTCAGCATTTACTGTTCAATAGTACATGTCGAGTCACCTAGAAAGTTAGGATGACATTAATGAGAAAGAGATTTGAAACTTTCTAGGTAAAAAACTGTTCTGCTGTTGATTTTGTGTCAAGTCTCTACAAAGTTTTTAATACTAACTCTTTATCACCAATATTTACACCATTGTGTTATAGTAATGTCGGTTTAATTTTGTGCAGCTGTTTCTTTGTCAGTGGGAGTGATGTGTTGTTTTCATATGCTTCAATTTGTACAGTGTAAATTTTAAAATATCTTGTAGTGCCTGTGATGAACTTGACAGAGAGAAGAATTCATAATTCAAGAAATACACCACAAATATTGTGTCGATGAAATGTGTATACCTTTTGCGTTTGTCTGAAAGTCAAATCATACAATATGCCAATACAATTGTAGTAAATATATTATTATAATATTATCAAATATATATATATATTATATCAATCAAGTGCACTATTTTTCTATCAAGTAATGAATTGTAAAGACAATATAAATATTGATATTATGTAAATTAGCATTTGTGATTGTTGTATTTAGTTGTATTAATAGTTCTTGGTGCACATAGTGTAAGTCTTTCTCCCTTCCCCATATTTAATTAGCATTGTCCTGCCCGTATATAATTACCACAGCAATACTGCTATTTAGTATCATTATTTATCTGACAGACTTGCATCATAAGTAGCGTAGTTAGTCTAGACCCCCATTAACCCCCACAACCGTGTAGCTTCTTGTCTAAGCCATATATGGTGCCATTTTTATTATGATATAATATATGATAAGAGTTCAATTGGGATTTTGCAAAAGTCCATGTATAGTAAATGAGCTATATTTTTTAACTTGGAGAAGCTGGCAAGAAAGAGGGAATGAAGTGCATGATATTCACAAGAGTAATTATTTTCGGGTTAATATTATTATTATTTTTTTTTTTTTTTCATTTGAAAAATTTGCCTAGGAGAAATTTGCTGTACAGAGTGAAGCTACGTAAATGTGGTGGCCAAATCTAACAATTTGTAATATACCGTGATATGTTGATATAATTCCCCCCTCCCCCCATCTTGACGAATAATGTATTTTACATACATAGATGTAAAAGTAGCGGCCTTCGGGAAATGTTACGTGTTTTTTGACCAGACACCCATGTTTGTGTTTATGCACATAAACCATTGTGATACTCAATGTTTGTACAAAGGGAAAACATTATGCCAAAGTTTGTGTAGATTTTCAATCGTTGACATTGTATGATGGTAATATCGTCAAGATTGTCAGCCTCACCTAACATTGTATATTATGTATGTTGTATTTACTGTGTGTTTGACTGTAGGCCAGATCATGTTTTATCACTTGCCAGTATTTGGGATGTGGATAGTCTTTCATAACCTTTTTCCTTGTTGTTCAGTTTTATTATTATTATTTTTTGTTCATTTTTCCCCCCCAAGTATTTCATAAGAAGGGGAAACATTGTAGAAAATATAGGATTTTTCCTTATGTGGGAAAATGTGATATCGGAAAAAATTGTATTCATAAACAGAATTAAGAAATAAATAATTTTTCACTTTCTATGTTGAAAACGAAATGGACAGGCTCTCTGTTCTTAAGAACTTTAAGACTTGAATTTTTTTATTTATTAAATTATAAATAAGATGGGGCTCAATTGATCAACTAGGAGGGAATTGTGATTGTCAGGTGCTGCAGTACCCCCACTTTTCTCCTGCATACCATTCTTGCACTTTTCCTGTTCTACTGTACTCCTTAATTAGCCACCACTGCCAGGTATCGCCACCCTATATCTAACACAAACGTCAGTATTCCCGTCACTTAACAATGTGTTCAGACATAATATATGTAGAGTTAATGTTGGCATTGCTAGAAGTGCTTGTTACAAATTCCCGAAATTATATCTTGTTTTTCGTTATATAAAGACATTTATTCTCATACAATATCATGCATTATGATAAAATTACATATTGAAGATGACCGACTTCGGTCGCAGAAGCAATAATATGCTAACATTTTTTAGTCATACGTATTGAATTAATCTATGCCTCTTAGCAAGTATGTGCCCATAGATGTGGGTGTTATTATGGTGCAATTGCAGTAAAACTGTCCATTCCTCATAGTTATAGTGTATACAGTAAGCTGCCCTCATACTGATTATAAATCATAATAGCACATTAAGTTTACCTCATCCTAGAAGATAGTTACACAGATTTGTTGTACATACTAATATTCATAGTAACTATCCCAGAACTAAACATGTTTAACTCGTTCACCCCTGAAGACGAAATTGAACTCTTCCAATTCAAAGGCTGGAAGGGTTCATTATGAAATTTCAGGGGTGAATGTGTTAACCTACCAAACGCTTCATCCTGAAAGTGTCGGCTAACTTGCCTCATGCTCTTCATCCATTCACATCACAGCTTGCTAGGATTGCTCGGGTGGCGTAATACACTTGGTTTCCTCGTCTAAAAAAATGTGCGAGTTCTGTGAGATCCACATTACTGTTATCACTGTTGTGTAGGACATCCCAAGCAGCTATAGCCAACCCCACAAGTTCTACAACCCCAGGATAGGCATGTTTATATATAGGTCATGAAGCAGTTCCCTGTAGTCACAATTTCCCGGTCAAATCTTCATGAGAAAAATAAAATAAAATAAAACTGAACAACTGATTTTATTCTACCTGTGTGTGTTCATTTTGATTATATATAAACTATTATCAATAATTATTATTGTTGTGTTTCAGCATTACTTATAATATTGTAGAACAGAATTATACACGTTTTTTGGTGCACCACACGTGTATAGCAGTAGTGTGTCCCACATTTAGTTCCCTTTGAATTGTATACATCTTCGTATGTACATTTTTTGTGTGTAATTTCTCATAGATGATATAGAAGTTTTTTTTAAAATATATTCGGGTTTTTTTGCGTTAAAGAAAGTTGGATTTGATTTTCAAAGTTTGCTGTAGTTTCATTTATAGAAAAAAACCAATAAATGTTATTATAAATAATGAAATATATATTTGATGATTGAGAAAAGATGCGTGCTACTGAAGTAATGGCACAGAAATATCAAAACCCAGCATGTGGTAGCATTAGACTGTAATTATTTCTGTTTGGATTAGATAGGTTTTAGAATCGGTTTTGGGTATTCTTTGTTAGCTTTGTTATGAAATATTTTATAACCATTGTTTGAACAAAAAGTTATTCGGTGATAATTAAACAGGCAATGTTTTGGAGATGTGTACTCTGGTAGTCAAGTTTGTAGCAATGTTTCGTTGCTTTCCATCTGACCTTGGTGTTAGCTCATTCACCCATGAAGACGCATTTGAACTCTTCCAATTCAAACGTTGGAATAGTTCATTATGAGAGTTCAGGGGTGAATGAGTTAAGGTGTTTTTTAGAATAGTTTTCCCCCAATTATGCATAGTTTGAAAATGAGTCTCAGCGCCATTCCATTAAATAAGTTTGTTTTAAGAATTTGTAACATTGTTGCCTCGTACGATTAGGACTCAATAATTTGAGATAATCATGTGTTGTTATCGCCATTCATTGATGTATGAATTTATATGTATTCGGATATCATAGCATTTCTCTTCTTACTCTTTAACTCATATTTATGCAAAAAGAATATTAAATTTGTACTTTAAATTTGATGAATTAATCTGGAGATTCCTTCCCCCCCTTCACAGTAACTCAGTTACTTTTGATCTAAATGAACTATGTTTTAATTATATTTATGCCGTTCTATATTTAAAGAATTATCCAAGTAGGACAATGCTTTATACAGCCATCCAACATTCACCTTCTACGGAGGCATATGTAATGGTTGCGGAGAATTTTTCTGTTGTCGATAATTAATTTGTAATATTGGGAATCAACAATAACTGAATTGTCCAGTTTTGAAATTTCTATGATGCAAGTGAAGAAACAGTTTAAAGCTCATTTAATTTTTAGAGGCAAATGTTTGGCCATTACAGCAATGAAGGATGGAGTGGACATTATCAATACAACAGCTGTATAGTGTAGGGTTTGAAAAGGATTTTAACATGCCATTTTGAAATGTAGACAAATAATTACGAACACATTATGAAAGCTTTAAAAATATATTAACCTTTTTCTGTACAAATGTACGTGTCCATTGCAATTTTTTTCGAAATATAAAGTCAACATTGTGTGTATTCTGATATCAAGATGTCTTCACTTGTATCATGGGAATGGGCAAAACAGTTGAGCATGCACCTAACAATGCTTTGTCACTACTCAGGGTAGTTTAGAGAGAACCATACAGTAATAATGTTATTTTGAATCAAATTATGATCTGTCTTGTAAGTCGTGACCCCTGTTGTATGTCTTATCACCATACTGTATATTTCCCCCTTTATAAATGGGAGATTTGTCATATCAATATTGAAGATATCCAAAGTTTTATAATGTAATAATATTAGCTTGCCTTTTGCCTTGTCTTATTAACAATATTATATTTATATCATCATGTATATCAGGCACATGTCATTTGTAGAATATTGTACAAATTCTACTGATTATTCTCCATACCATAGCATTATTAGCGTATTTCGTAACTGAGAGAACAGAGCTTAGATTGAATTATAGATCGTCAAGTCATCAAATGAAAACATACCTCTCTGCATACCTGTCTCAAAACCTGTTTATGAAGACTTATACTCGTTCTTTGTCGCAGTTCAGATCTTACTTAATGCTGCAATCTTTTCATATGTTTCTTGCCAAATTCACTTGGATCTTGATATGCAAGGTTTTGGCCAACTTCCGATTGTTTTTACATTGGGGTCCTTGAGAAGACACTCGTATTTAGATAACAAATAAATAACACAATTGGGTAATTTTGTATTAAAGCTGTGTCATGAAAACAGTTTCAAACAAAAATAACAAGTTAAAATTATTATAAATATTAATATAATGCATATTTCATATATAAACCAGTTGTTAAATCAGAATTTTCAATGTTGCAATGTTTCAATGTCAAAGCGAGATTTCAGTCGTCCTAAACCTTTATAGAAAATAAAACGTTTTAAATATTTTTTTTTGTCTTTGTAGAGAAATTAAATGAATAGTTGCTCAGGTGAATAAATAAATACTTGTGTTTTGTCCATATTTTGAGGGCATTGTGAATTGTACCCCTGGTACATGTACTTGTTGGCTGTTCACGGAGTCTTAACTCGTCACAGGGAGGGGGGTAGGCATACTTCATCATGGTTCTTGTTAAAATGTTTGTGTATATGCGGGTAAACAGCACTTTGATGGCATTCTTCGATAATACTGTAATTTTTTTGTCCAAAAACTTTCATCATGGCATGGACCCATTCTTTCATTTTTAATAACACATAGTTTTCATTGGCCACACGGTATTTTGTTGTATCAATAGATAACATTTTAGTGTCAAATTAAATTTAAAAAAAACAACAGGTTACTAGCTTTCCATGAAAATTGTCACATCCAAATATGTTCAGTTGTACACGATTCTTGTCTAGATTTTTATCCTGATTATCATAGTTCTATATATATATATATATATATTTTGCCATATCATATCGGGTTTTTTATTATAACATTTTTAACACCACGATTAAGGTAATCTTTTACGAGGTGTGTGTGCGTGTTTTCCAACTTAGTACTCTCACATGGAGCACTTTAGTGTATGTGAATCGTTACCCGAGTTTGATCTCAATTATAATCGGTCTTATGTTAATCAATTGTAAGGGTTTGTTATCAATTTGATTCGTAGACATTTCCTTTTTTAGTATGTTTTTTTTCCTTATGACTTTTCTTGGCACACTCTTGGATTAATTTAGATACTTAAACAAAATTTGCAGAGAAGAAACCGAGCATGGCACATGTAAAAAATTTGTGTTCAGAAAATTGTCACAGACTACAATATAAAAGATGAAAGCTCAAGATTTAATTAATTAAAAACACATTCCCATTATGACTTTTAATTATATAAAATGTTCAATTGATAAAATTGATGCTTATTTATTAGTTCAAAGTAACTTACATTAAAGCTATTATTTTGTCATATTTCAGATATCTTTATTTCTTTTATTGTTTTTATAATGGAAATGTTTTATGATTGAAAGCCATCTGGAGGTACATGCTTGCATAAGATTTTGCTAATATGGACAAAAGCAGATAATTTTATAAGATCCTAAATGTTTTAAAATTAAATAATTTGAAAATTTAAACACTTGATAATGTCAATATCCTGCAAGTATCCAGAGTGTTGCCATTTTTTTTTTTTCCATATATTTTTGATTTTTTTTTTAATTATGACCTGTTTATACTTAGTATTTTGTATTCCTTCATTATTATACTACTCATTTTGTCTAGTCAGTGTTAGACAGTTGTCGTGGTTACACCTAGTTACTTTATATCCAGTGTGCTATATCTCGCCATAGCAGCTCATCCTTACGTATCCCTTATTTGCTATTTATTTCATTTATGTAGATTTCATTTTGGCGATGAAGAACACAGGAGAATTGAGCAAGGACTAGAAACTGCTTCACAGAATAGCTTGTCAAAGGAAATATGGGTTTCACTAGAGAATACACACCTTTTTAGCCTCATTCGATATTATGGTTGTCTATTTGCAATTTTACTTATCTTAATGTAGTTCATTAATTCATTTAGCAATTATTTCATTAACTTTTAAAATTTCTTGTAAATTTAATTTAAATTCAACATCAAAAATGAATTGCTTTTCATACAAATTAATATTCAGAATACATTTTTTAACAAATATTTGAACTCGCACTGGGCCAAAGGGGCCCAGTCGAGCTTATGCCATGGTGCAGTGTCCGTCAACTTTTCCTTTATAGAAAGACTACTTATACAGTATGACTGAAGGGATTCTGACTAAACTTTATATGGATTAATATCCTTTGGTTTGGGGAATTAAATGGCCACCTTGGAGTAAAAGGGGTGGGGCTCGAAAGGAAAAATGGGTGTAACTAAAGTTGAATTGAATAATTTTTACGTGGACCTGAAAAGCTCCTGTTTCTTTTATATTGGTTTGAAATCCATAATTGCTACCTTATCCTCTGATACATCCAGATATTTCTGATTAATTTCTAATTCCACCAGATACATTTTATTTCAACTGTTATTCCTCAATATTATTTCAATTCTTGCGTTAGAACTCTCAGATAGCCAAGATAGTCCAAGTTGGCAGAAACTTTTTGACTTTGTTCACTTCTGTTAATAAAGAAACAGGTGACCGATAAAGGCCCAATGGGCATCTTGTTTCGACATGAATTAAAGGCGATTGCCTGTCTTATTATTCAGTGACATTATGGATAAAGGTGATTGCCTATTACACTGTGAAGGGAAAGTATCTTATGAATTTTTGCTAGTGTATTTCATTTTAACCACTGCAATTTTTAAATTATATTCCGTCTCTTTGTTGACATTGATGCCTGCATTGTTGGGAGAGTGTATTGATAAACCTGGAGTCCGATGTAACCAAACTTCTCTTTTTAGGTTAGACTTAAATTAAGTTAACAAGATCTAAATATTTTTAAAAAATCATCGGAAGAAATCAATTTCAATAAGTAGTTTTAAACAGGATCTTTATTATGTTGCATATAATATGTACCATAAGTATGTTCAATCAATAATTGGGGAAGTTCTTTGTTTTGGACACTAGGGGTGGGGGGGTGGGTGGGTGTTCCACTATGCCTAGACCAGTAATGTTTCAGTCTTAATGTGGTCTAATTGCATTTCAAAGTAGTATTGGCTATTGTCAAGGCCCTCTGCAGGATGCATCAATACACGCTTCTAACAAAGCAGGCAAATTCACAAGTATTATCATTAACGCCCATATTATTATTGCACATTCATTGCCTGTTTTGACTTTTATTATGATTTTTGTCGTTTTTTGTGTTTAACCATAATCCATCGTTGTATTATAACACTGGTGTGCAATATTTCCAGTACTACAGACTGACTGGTGTCACGATAGAATCACATTGGTATGGGTCGCTATACGCCATTATTTGTTGCTAACTTGTGATGGTAGTTTCCAGCAGGAGTTGTTTAACATCAGATGGTAGATCTATCAGATAACATTCACCGTGGGATCAATAGCACTATTAAATTGAATTCACCATTTAAGATTTGTGTTTGTTGTTGTTCATTCAGACAAGAAAACTTCAGGAATATGTGATGAGATCTCTCGTAAGAGCAGCTAATGTCAAGATAAACTTCAAGAATATGTGAAGAGATCTCTCGTCGGAGTAGCTAATGTCAAGATATACCTGAGGTATATATGAGATCTTGAGTCCTTAAGTGAACTTAAGCTGTTAATAGGACGTAAAACAAAATAAAACCAAACCAAATCGTTGGAGTAGCTAATGTCGAGATATACTTCAGGAATATATTGGGATCTCTCATCAGAGTAGCTATGTATGCAGAAAATTCATTGCCCTCTGAATTAGGCAAAATTTATCATGACAGCAAATCTTTATACACAGCATACTATACATAGACATTTTATGTGAAGGGCAAAATAAATTCTTTGTGAAAATGGATTTTTTAAAAGGTTGAAAGTATGACGGAGTAAGTTGCCTGGTATACAGTATTAATTTGGAATCCAGGGGTGAGTTCCAATATTTATGACGAATATGTGGCACAGTCGTACTCCACATGAAGGAGCTCTGTAACTTTGAGATCACAGTTATTAGATTATCCTGCATGAAGTGCCAATGAGTACATGGGCATGGCTTATCCTCATCTAAGACAATTGTCAATATCTTGCAATCTGAAAGATGGAGTTGGACAGGATGTTTGGAAAACGATTTAATGTGTGAATTGAACAGCCTGTATATAGATCAAGACCTTTTAAGCAGTTAAAGTTCTCCCAGATGTGTAGTTGCTGCAGTAGTCGTGTTTATGCAGGCAGGATTAGATTACTAGGTCAAACCAGAGATGTATTATACGTCTCTGGTCAAACCTTATTTCATAAACAACAAACTCTGGTCCAACTGGTTCAACCGATTAGATCGTGGTAAACGAATGTGGCCTTTAGTAAAATCAATCCTTGAGTGACTCGTATACCATGCACCTCTTGGAATGGAACTTTCGGATTACCTTGGAACCGACATCATGAATTGTGAATAAGAGTTGCGTCCCTTGGACCATAGCACCCACCATCTGCAATTTTTTTAAATAAAGTTGCCTCCCTTGGACCACAACATGTATTGCGTATTATAGCTACAAACAATTTTAATCTTTGTGAAGCTTTTATTGTAAAAACTATATGAAGAAGGAGCAGTGTACAAAATCTGAATGTAACAAATAAAAAGGATATGAGACAGACATCCTGATGAATCTTTTTCCAGTTATGAGACAAAATTCATGATCTGCATTTTCTTGATTGCTTTGAGCAAGTTCGCTACCATATAAATGTCAAGTTATGCACCGATACCAAATACAGCAAAACATCAATACTGCCAAAATATTTCAGGGTCTTTTATCCTTATTTTCTTCAAAGCAATTCATTTATATGTCTCCCCTTATCTATTGCTAAACCCCTTTACAACGCCGAAAATTTACCTGACAATAAGGATGGCAATATAATGAGGTTTTAGTTTAATCATAATGTTATGTTTTCGCATTAATGACATCTATGAAAATATCAACTTATTTCAATCAGTGAGTCAAACAAGCATAAAAGTAATTTCCAACAACAGAACACTACTATTAAAGGGGAGAAATAAAATTAAAATTTCGAATAGCAATTCCAGATTATTAGCAAGGGTATAGTACAATAAAACACGGTGAAAATGAATCTATAATCCAGTACAAACACTCTATCAAGTCTTATGTGATACTACGGACTTATCTAATTCCGTGGTGATACATCCATGATGCCTGTATTCAACATTGTTTTGAGCTACAAAACTACAGTTTATATATGTGTATCATGGTAAGAAACACAGCTGACAGAAATATAGTGTTGGTACATGGTATTGGATGGGATTACATTTAGAATTTTCTGTTTAACTTGATTCTAACTTGATGGACCATTTCAAAAATCATTGAAACATAATCTGAGGGGCATATACATACTTGGTGTATAGTGTGTGCTGTTTAAGCAATGGGAAGAAAACATGATTTTAAGTGATTATGTAAATATCTTCATAAATTATTCAGCATCAGCAATTTAGGACAATAGAAATTTGATTAAAATTTGTACTAAGGAAAATTTCCACTGTTTTACAATGCATGAGATTACACTAGCAATTCTGGGTGATTTTGAGTTTAAGATGGTCCATTAATTCAGGAAAGTATACATTTATGTAATGGTTAAGTATCTTATTCAAAATGATGATACCATCACCCTAAACATACCATGCATTCTAAGATAAACGATAAATTTCATTTGAAAATATAATTTTATACAAATAATATATGATACCCGACATTCTAATGTCACAACAAGTTTACTGGGCAGTTAGTTATCTCCCTGCACAGTTTTCAGTGGAGTGATAAGTGGATGGGAGATGGAACACTTCATATTTTACATATTTAAGTATATATGATACTTAACTCTATCATGCATCTTAATTACAAAAGGGCTCTACCAAAAGAAAATCTTGTATATTTTCTGGTCATGAATATTGTTAATGGACATAAGTTCGTAATGTGAGTAGCTTATATATGACAAAATTTATCTATAGATCATACCTTTATGGCATCTGTTTACAAAACAGAAATAGTGCTCTAGGTATAACCAATCTATTTGGTAATTTTGTAGTACACACACCATGTTAAGAGTCATTATCAATAAATTCAAAAAACAAATAGTCCAAATAAATACAAGTCACATAATTTCTACATTATAAATCATCTACCTAATGAATATTCAACAGGAGAAGATCTAATTTGATTGCAGAACAGTTTCCAAAGTTACCATAAAGTTTGGAGCCTGTCATAAAGTTGTGTCCGAAGATGATGTCTCCCTTTGGACTTGTATGGGCAGACACTTTGATTGACAGCGAAGTATTACTGTGGACACTTTGATAGCACTATCAAATCAGAAACTGAAAGATAACATTTAAATTTAATTGACAAAAAATAGAAAAACTAAATATTCAAAATTCTGAAACAATTGCAAGGTTATCCTGCCTACATGCAAATATCAAACCTACATGTAAAAAATAAAGTGAAGGAAAATAACACAACAGGTACACATAGTTAAAAAAATATTTTAAACCGCTATACAAATGTATAATTAAAGAATTTATCATTTCGTAAATTTACAAATGAACAAAATGTATCAACGTGTTTTCTAATGAGTGCAATATGTTTTTAACAGCGTGTCAGTTAAAACGATTCAATATGTTACACCAACAAATGTTTCCTGCACTTGTACACTATAACACATACACATATACACCTATGACCAGAAATTAATTACACACAATTATCACAGAATACGTGGATCAGACGACCCCCTAATAAATTAGTCACCCTTGATTACTTATGTACAACTCTCTATCCGATACAACATTCTCTTTCTGCGGTTAAGTACACTGTGCCACGTTCTCTATCTGGATTAGTGGATCAGACATAAAGTGCCAAATTCTATCTTGAAAAGAGACATCTTTCTGCATACCAGAAGGTGGATAAGAACCATCAACCGAGAACGTGGATGAGATATACAGTGCCACATTCTCTACCCAGGGAGGTGGAGTAGTGTGGAAGTGTTCCACATTCTGTCTGGGAAGGTGGATAGGAAACACCATTCCACATTCTCTGGAAGGTGGATTCAAACCATCATCAGAGAATGTGGATGAGATATACAGTGCCACATTCTCTACCCAGGGAGGTTGAGTATTGACTGTGTTCCACATTCTATCTGGGAAAGACAATAAGATACACCATCCCACATTTTCTGGGAGGGTGGATACGATACACCATTCCACATTCTGTCTGGGAAGGTGGATACGATACCCTGTTCCCCACATTCTTCATCTGGGAAGGTGGATTGCTGACTAATGTTTCACATTCTGTCTGGAAAGGTTGATTATATATTGGCATTGACATTTTCTCAGACATTGTTTGAGACAGTGGATTAGATACGCTGTTCCACTTTTACTGCCTGTCCATAAATTCCCAACACTCCTTACAGAGAACAGGGTTTCTTAAATGTGCAGAATGTTATTTTGCCTTATAGTCTATCTCAGAAGTGACTGCTTCACATTATTTTTATGATAAACTTGAGGAGAAATATATAATACTTGCTCTAGCTGAAGGAATGTATCGTCTGTCATTGAAAGTTAACATTTTCTCTTTTACAAAACAATGGCAGATGTGGACCGTATATGCTACCTGGCACACGTGTATTGTTTTATTAACGTACAATGTACTAATGGCTTTATCTAATACATTTAGAACAATGTTTCTGCAATTATAGAATTTAATAAAATCATTCAAAAAATGAAAAAAGAATACAGGAAAATTAAAACATCTTAATGTCTTTTGATGATTATGCACAAGAGAAGCCTAAATTGAACATTATAACTACAACTTCATGATGTGGTTAATTCACACAGATTTTAAATCATATTCCCCAAATGTTCATCGGCTAGATTTTTCTATGAGGTATTAAGACGTTGAAGCTCATCACGGATAGCTTGCATATATTTCCCTTCGCCTTCCTGACGAAGCTTTTCGTCGCTGCTCTCTGTCTTTTCAGCCTCATCATTCTTTTCCTCTGGAAGGTCCTTTCTACCTGTATCGAAAAAATCTCCGTTGTCGGCCTGAGAACTATTTTTCCGTGAAGACTGATGGGAGACACGCCCCTCAGTCATTAATTGGTCCAGGGCTGATATAGGCGTGTTTGAACCAGACTTGTTTGTCTGTGATTGATACGCATAATTAGTAGGGGTAACATCGCCCTCAACAGATTTTCTCGTATCGTCTACAATTCCATTGGATGATAATAAATGTTCATGCGCATTTCCAGCCAATGGAAAGGCATCATTGAGTAATTGTTTCATTTCCTTCGTGTCCTTACTGTTTATTTTGCGCTCGTCGAAGCTGTCCTGGAGAAGAGCGCGGTTTACTACCTGTTGAGCATGTTGTTTTATTTTCTGATCCTCCAGGAATCGATGACGTTGTTCACGTTGTTGTAACATCATGTGCTGTTGTCTGTTTAACATTTCTATGAGGTCCTGAAACAACAAATAACAAATTCACGTTATACACTCATTATCTTATCTCACAATTGATATTGACACTGTAAATAAATTAAGTTAACTTGTTACTACCGTTATTCGCATATTGTGTGCACTCGTGTATAATATTTGCGCAGGTACTTTATGGGTCAATTTATTCTCTCTTAAATAGGATTTTTTTTTTTTTATTAAATTATATTGAGAGTTTTTGTAATGGTTAAATAGCCAATGCAATCAGGAGTTATTTCACAAAATTTTAGCAGTTTTTATATCATTGGTTTCGCCTAAAAAGGTATGCACTACGTATTCATGAATATTTACATTATTTGTAAGTTGATTATCTACATATAAGTCATTAGCGCCACTTAATGAAATATGCCAACAAAACACTTGGGGCCTGTTGGCCCTATAGTCACTTGTCACCCCTGTGTTTTTGTTATTATTCTATTATTCTTAACATAATATTTAACCCTTGAGATCTTGAGAAGAGGGCCCAAAGTCATTTACTTCATCAGATTTCAGGGTCATCAACACAAGCACGCAACAGGACAAACAACATGACTCTAGGCCTCCTGGTTTTACAGAAGTCTGAATTTAACACAATATATACCTTGAGGTGGGTCAAGGTAGTTTACTTAAGTGTCCCTGTCTCACTGCAAGTAAATCACTAGTAGTTTTTGGTACATTCAGTAACCTTCCCTTACAGTAATTTCATTTGGATATATTTTAAGCTACTGAACTTGGATTCTACTGTTGACCAGCTAGCTCAGTTGGTTAGAATGATAGAGTAATGATTGGGGGTCCATGGTTCGAAACCAGTGGTCTGGCCCTGTTTACATTTATACACTCATTGTAATATTGATTCTATCTTTGTTTATACAATCTGTAAGGTATTGTTTTCTTTTAGGAAATGATTAATCAAAACTTTAGTCGTTAGAGATTCTTCAAAAAAATTGACAGCCCTCCCTTCACCAAAGCATGCTATATAGGACAGGTATCATGACTTTAGACCTCTAGATATCTTTTGAAATATTTAACACAACCTTAAAAGCAAGTAAAGGTGAACATATTTCAGCAAAAAAAACATGCTGTTTGTACCAGCAAGCTACAAAACAAATTTTATAATTCTAGGCTCAAGGTAATGTAAAAGAGATCTTAGGATATATAGAACACATTTGACCACAGTGACTCTTAAGGTGGGTGAAAGTATTGACTTGAACAAAGTAAGCAAGAGTAGTAAAACTCTCATGTTTTGCCAATGCAAGCATTTGAAGTTTTAAACCCTGTGACTGTGAAAAGTGGGCTAAAATAAATTATATGCAAAAATCGGAAAGCTTTCCTCCCAAGCAAGCCAGCTACAGGCCAAAAACACAGATTCTTAAGGCAAAATGTTCTTGTTGATAAAGTTCAAGCAAACTTTTATCGATACACTGTATTAATATGAATAAATTTTCACAACTGGCGACATTTGCTACACACTCGCATAAATTAATTCACAGGCGTTTCATGCCAGGTGAGATAAAAAAAAAAAGAGGCCCAAGGGCCTTAGCGGTCACCTGAGTTATATCATAGGTACTGATAGCTTTATTTTATTGTTTAGATGTGATGTGGAAATCAGCATGTAAACTAAGTGAAATACAATACTTGTCATGTCATCAAAGGATAGGAATTTTTATATATTGGTAAACGTTCCCTTTGGGGCCCCGCCCTAGTCCCTGGGGATGGGGCAGGAATTCCAATTTTACAATGTAATACCATCATCCACCAAAGATGATTCTGACCAAGTTTGAATAATTTTCTGCTGAAAATGGATAAAATATACCCAAAAGTGTTATTTCCCTATATAAACTACAGTAAACTTTACCCCCTCCCCAAGGGGGAACGGATGGCCCAGGGGTCCTGAATTTGACAATTTCAATAAAGCTCCTGATGATCTTTCTATCCATGCACTGAAATTGACTGTAGTACCTCTGAGTCTGGAGAAGAAGATTTTTGAAATATTGGTAAATTTTCCCTTTAAGGCCTGCCCTGAGTGGCCCCTAGGGTTGGGGTAGGAATCCCAATTTTACATTTTAAAACCATCTTCCTCCAAGGATAATTCTCACCAGGTAAGAATAATTTCCTACAGAAAATTGTCAAAATATACACAAAAGTGTTGTTTCCCTATATAAACAATAGTAAACTTTACCCCCTCCCCAAGGGGGAACGGATGGCTCAGGGGTCCTGAATTTGACAATTTCAATAAAGCTCCTGATGATCTTTCTATCCATGCACTGAAATTGACTGTAGTACCTCTGAGAATGGAGAAGAAGATTTTTGAAATATTGGTTAATTTTCCCTTTTGGGTCCTACCCTGGCCCCAGGGGTTGGGGTAGGAAAAATTCCATCCACTGGTTCTTGAGAAGAAGTTGAAAATGTAAAAAGTTAACGCACGACGGATGACGGACGGAAAGTGATCTGGATAAAAGAACTGAATCTTTTCATTGAGGGTGTTTTTTGAATATCACTGAATCTCCCTATACATGTATTGATCTTAATAAAACAATTAGCATATCTTCAATATATTTATCATAACAACACAGACCCTATTCAAATGTCTGAATTACATAAATATCAACAGATTATTATCATGCATTCTGAGATTAAAATTGTACAACAGTATTTTTGTTATTCAAATCAATATGTTGAATTTAATTATTTCTACATTTAGATTGAGAATCATGCATTTTTAAAAAATAACTGACAATCAGGCATACAGGCTTGTCATGCATACAATTAAAACAACCCAATGGGCTAAAATAGGTTTTAATGAAAATTTTAATGGACTCCAGTAATTAAAACTACTTGTATATATACAGCCAAAACACTGTGCATGATCAAGTTATCATATAGGTACTTACAATGAAATAAAAAAAAATCTGTACGATTATAGTTCTATTGATAACAGCCAAGCATGCACAAAATTATCTTGAGTAAACCAACAAGGTTTTGTTCTTATTGAAAAAAAATTATAGGAACAAAACAAAATTTCTATTTAGCAATAAACATGCTCTCAGCAGGCTACTACATAGCACATTTCATCAATGCCAAACACACAATTTCCTATACTTTAACTCACAAACAACAACCTTTCTTAAACAACAGCATTTCACTAATCCTCGTCAGCACTACATAGGACTAACGACTAGCCATACAGTATACAAGACAACTTACGGAACCGAACCATCTAGGAAGAGTGGAGGAAAGAAAGGAAACATGAACAAAGATCGCATGCAAATCTTTTCATGCTTTCGACGGAAAGTCCACTGTATATGGCAAAACACTCATCCTATATCATTTATCTGACCTTCGTGGTCCCAATTTTTGTGGATTTGTTAAAATAGTCAATTTAGTGGGATTTATATTTGTGGGTTTCAGGTCTACAGGCCAAAGCAGGAAGTGCTACGGTAATGATGAATTTGCTAATTTTATGGGTTGTATTTTTTCTTTAAGAAAAATGGTTTCCAGGAAAATCATGAAAATTATATAGAGCCCATTAAATAAAGAAAAAAAACCACTTTACAGTATCTTTATAGACAACTTTGATGTAATTACAAGTTAACCAAATACATGTTTCTCAAGTTCCTTCTTCAGGATTTGAAAACTAAAGCCAGGTCATCCTTAAAATTTGACAATTTGAGCAAAAGGTAATATCAATAGCATCATCACAAACTCGTTAACCTAGGCCTAAGTGATGAGCTAACGAACACCGTTTGTGAAGAAAGACAAAGACAACGGACCAACAGGAGAACATGACTTACTATTGCAAAAAATTATAGATATTTATATTGTTTACTAAGATATGGTGTTTTCAGTCTTTTGGAATGTGTAAATGTTCTTAAATGAACAGAACCTTAGTTAATTAGAGTCAGAAAATTACAATAGAATTACATTGTACTTTGAAAGATGAACAATAAGTTTTTCTTACAACTGTATTTGTTCCCAGAAGTATTTTTATCATACCAATAATGATATTGAATACAATTATTTGATTTTCAACAAAAAAAAATCAGGGATATAGCTAACCCTTACTTTTTTTGACAACAGCACTAGGTACTGTATTTTAAGATCATGAGATAATTTACAAGATTAGAATGAGATTTGCCATATACAGTGGATTAAGTGGTCAAGTGGAGTGACCGATACCTGTGTTGGGTGTTGAGGGGAACATATAGAGCCGACCTCAGTATGTTTTGGCCGTAGAGGTGAGCGGTCAAGGACTGACCAATTGTTAGAGCGGAGGTGAGGACAGAGGGTGGAGTTAAAGTATTCGGACACGCGGTCCGGAGGTTGCTGGTCATTACTGTCCAATGGAAGGAGTGGCTGAGTGAGACTCGAGTCGTGCTGTAGTGGACAGAGGTCAAAAGTATTATTCAAGGTCAAAAGAGTCAACAGAAACTAACATGTTCTTCTATTACAAGTCACGTTAAAAGGTCAAAGCGCGAAGAAACGTGGCACAACTCCAGTTCTTGTTATGATACAGAGTTTGAGTATAAAACAATTACGACTTGGCGTTGCTTGCTCTTAACTTAGAGTTATTTACGTGAAAACATTTATATATATATAATTGCCTTATTCACAAAAATATCTCCACCATGGGGGTTTGATCCCTAAGGACTTGAATAAAGCAGAGAGCTGAACCACTGTGCCCTGACCAGTCACAATATTACTTACGTTGATATCACTCTGTATCTTTACTGGGAATAATTTCAAGATATAAGAACAGTACAGTAGAAGCGTGGTTGGCTTTCAGCCTTAACCTGTACTGCTATAGGACAGATACCAGAGCTTTTGTTAACCTATATTTTACGACTGAAGACATGGTGACGATCATCATGATCATGGTCAAATCATCATTCAAAGGTGAATTGAAGAATCGGACTACACACTGATGTCCTACAAAAGCTGTAAAGATTTGACATCGGCGAAACCTTTTAGACGCTGACATTTGACTGGTC